TCTAACCAACCAAATAAATCTCAAATTAAGTTTTCTCCCCATTTACATTGTATTGAAAGAAAATTGAGAAATGGTTGCCATGACAGTCCTCATTATGCATATTAGACAAGAATAAATTTTACAGTGATAGTTTTAATATGGCAGAGGTGAAGATTAGGATGCTGCAATTGGCTGCAGGCTCTGGGTTAAGAGGGAAAACTTAGTTTACCATTCTAGAGTAAAATGGGATAGGTGGAGTGAGTTCTGCAATTGTATAGACTGACTAATCTACATTTATTGCTCTCTTACCTGCAAAGCATGCTACCCTGGTCAACTACTAGGAGGAATCTTTTCCTGCTTTTTGCCATTTTTTGTTCTTTAGGTCAAAAATTGTAAAAGGTTTGCCTTTGCTGCTGTTTACTTCAGATTTTCATTTTAAGTCCTGCATTTCTGTAAATTTGGCTTAAATCAAATAGTGTCTTAAGTTCTATCTGTTTTAGTGTCTTGATTATTCAGTATCCTTTTGTTCATCCAATGATTTGTATATTGTCTGTTCTAATGCTAAAGAAGTATCCATTTGTTGGACTGTAGACTGCTCGGGCTAGCTGCATTATATAAAAGTAGTATTCATAGTTATAAGGCATGATTCTGCCCCTGCACAATTTAAATTAATAAGATCTTGATTTCACTTTTGTAACTTTATTTTTTTAATAAAAACCTTTTAAAGTGTATTTGCTTTTGTATTAAAATATTCTGTAGAATTTGAGTTGACTTCAGTTAAACTTTGTGCTGTACTGCTTGAGTCATAAGAATACTTCATTTCAAAACAAAATCACTTAAGAACAATGTGCTTGTGCTTTTATTGCCACCAATTCTATTCTCCTTGACAACAATCCTTGGCTGAAACAGGCTGCATGTCATTTTGTTGATCTATTTCAGATGTTTGTTTTGTCTCAGTGGCATAGTTCATACTTGTTGCCTCTGAAGTCAGAAGGATATTGCTCAGGCCCTCCTGCAGTGATCCTCCTTGGACAGGGCAAACATCTGGTACACCCAAAATTGCTACTAAAGAAACACTGATACATCTATAGGTAAAGGGGGTGATTCCAGATTATCTGTAATACACCAGATTAGATTTGGAAACTTTGTTTAAAAGAGCATTTCAATTCAACTAAATCAGAACGGAAAGGTATAGCAATTTGAATTACTAGTTTTTATTTTCCCAGACACATTAAATAAGATTGGGGAAGAATTGGAAACAGATCAAGCTTGAATGACTAAAAGGCCTGCTCTTGTTTAATGGAAGATGTGAGAACAGTTGCTAAACAGTATTAAATTCAAAGTTGCATGGCAGGCAAGTGATGGAAAAATATTAGCCAACTTGTTTTATTAAGCTTAGCCAGAAGAAGCAGTGATCTTGCAGCAGTTTTGTTCAGTGTAGTTCAAGAGCCGATAAACTTATTGGGGAAAGGAGCTTGTCTTTTTGCTTGGAGCAGCAATTTGAACATCATTACTCATTTCAAAATTACAAGTGAGCAAATCTCCTGCAATTTAGAATAAAATCTAAAAGTTGCCTGAGAAAGTAAAAAGCAATAAATCAATCATGTCAGCTCTCTTCAATTTTCTTTGAAGTGAGTTCAGGATTTTTAAATCTTGCAATGTAACGTATGCACTTGGCAAGGTTGCTATTTGGAAAATGTGAACTAAGTTACACCTTAATTTGCATTGATATTGGGTGAAATCTGCAGATTTGTGAAAGTATGCAATATCACCAAGCTATGAATTGTTTTACCAGGAGATCCCTGATTGGAAACTTGTATGGACATGATATTGCTGCTTTTCATTCAGATGGTTTGAACTTCCCTCATTACTTAGATCACAGAAGCAATGCTGAAATGGAGTGTTAGTGGTAATGTATTAACAACTTCTAGGATACATAATTTAAATGTTCCCAGGCTAGGTTGCACAGTTGAATCCAATAAATTTGGTTACAAAGGAAATAGCAAAACTTAGATTGTCTTGCCAGCATGACTTATTTGACAGTGCCCTACCCATTCGGTCAGCATGTGAGTCCCACATCCATACTATGCCATTGACTCTTTGGTGGCCCATAAAGATACGGGATGGTACTTTACACTCAAGCACAAGTGTAAAATCAGAGGTAGCAAATCCTTTCCATTGTGTGAACAATCCAAAAGTATCTTCTGTGCATACTGCTCCTTTGATGCTGCCTGGCCTGCTGTTATCTCTGATGCCAGCACTGGCAGTTCTTACTATCTCAAAGTTGAAATTTCCACCTGATTGCTCAATGGGCTGGATTCTTTTCAGCTGTACTACCTGACAGCAGAATACATAACAATGGAGGAAGATAATTCCTGTTAATGCAACCAAGTTTTATACTACTCACCACTCTGTACAGTAGATCAAGGTTGCCTGATGCTTAGCTGCCCTAACACATGTAAATGATGGCCAATTTCCTTGCTAACCTATCAACTGCAGGTCAGACCAGTGTAGAAGGGGTGGCATATAGGTTATGGGTATGGACATTTTGTGGTTATACTACTGCATTAGCAGTTCAGTAATTTGGATCATGGCAGTATGTAAATTTAGGTTCCCTTTTAAAAAGCTCACATCAATGAATTAGTTATCAGGCATCCAACAACCCAACCTAAGTCATTCATCATTATCCTTAGGCCATTTGTAGCCTGGCCTATGTGTAACTCCAATCCCATATTAACAATGCCCATAATTGAGGAAAAAGCTTCTTTGGCTAAAAAATGCTGAAATAAAACGGTTGAAGCAAATAGACACATTTCATAGGAAGCCAGATAAGCATATATGGAAGGACAGAATAGAGAGTTGTGCTGGTGGAGTTGTAAGAGAAGATGGGTAGATGGTGGAGTAGAACATTAACACCAGCACAGACTAGATGGGCTGAATGGTGTGTCTCTGTGGCTACTTCATAGTTACATAGAATATACACCAATCAAGATACCTCTTTGTACCCCTAAACGGTTCTATTAGATGCTTTTGAAAAAGTGTCTTCATTTTTTTTCCGCCAGTGAATAATGGCTGATCTGTACCTCAACTTCAATTACTTGCTTTGGTTAGGACTACCATGCCACCCATTTTTCAATTTTTGTTTAATACCATGTAAATTGGGAGAAAACTTAAATTTGTTTGGTTAGACAACTCACAACCAGTAAACAACAAATACTTAAGTATAAAAGAGAGCAGCATGGTTAACCAGAAAATAAAGGGATTTTTTTTCTCTGCCAGTCATTGAATAAGAACTGTACATCAGCTTCACTCATGTGCCTTTGCTCCATATCGCTTGATCAATTAATTTTAGACAAGTCAAAGGCTATGGAATGCAGACAGAAAATTGGAGCTGAGAATAGAGCAGAAGTGTTTAAAGAAAAGGGAGGGGTTAGGCCTTGGAGGAATTTGAAAACAAAGATGAGATTTTTAAATAAAAGCAAAATACTGCAGAAATTTTAAATAAATACAGAAACTCTTCAAGAAATTTAGGAGATCTGACAGACAGAAAAAAGGTTTTTTGTTCTGGAGATTCTATTTACATGAAAATTTTAAAATCAGGATCTTGATTAACTAGAAACTAATGCAAACCAGTGAACACTGGGCTGAATAAAATTTGCTGCAACAAAAAACACAGGCAGAATTTTGAATGATCTTGAGTTTACAGAGGCTGGCCAGGTATGACGTTATAGTCAAGTCTAGAGGTAATAAAGCAAATCGGCTGAGGTGAAGGTGGAGTCAGGTGATATTACAAAGGTGGAAATAGACGGTCTTAGCAAATGGTGTGAACATAAGGCTGGTAGATCACTTTGGGGTCAAGAGTAACGCTGTGGCTGTAAACAGTCCAATTCAGCCTTACACAATGACTAGGGAGAAGGATTGAATCGATGGTGAGGTAATAGTTTGTGATAAGAACCTGAACGATTTTAGTCTTCCCAATATTTAGTTGGAGGAAATTTCTGCTCGTCCAAGGATGTGACACGTTACAGTCTGAGAGTTAAAAGGTTTAGTGCTAAAACAGGCTGTTGAAAACACAGATGAAATTGTTCTTCAGTCTGGAGAACAGTATGCAATAGAGTTACACAGGAATCCCTTTTAGTTATTCTCTTTTGACATCTATTAAATGACCCTGGTTTGAAAATCTTTGGCATAATTTCAAACTCAATGAAGAGGACAGTATCAAGCTTTAAGAGGCTAAATTAACATGCAGGCTTTAACTTGGCTGTTGTTGCAGCTGTTAGATTTGCCGCACCTGACACTTATTTCACATTGCTTATATTTACAGTTTTACTTTTGTTGTACACACCTCTTAGTCTCTTTCCTCTGTAACTTTCAAAATCTATTCTTTTTGTAATTAGATTCAATTATCACAATTGGTTTTAATCATCAGCATTTTTGCCATTTGTCACATAAAACAGAAACCAGAAACTGTTCAGCACATTATTTCTTCTGAACTTCAAACACAAGATTACTGTCTTTTCAAACATCTTTGTTTCGTTCAATCCTATACTGGGGCTTTTAATCAGATGTCAATTTGCAAAAAACATCAACCTCACCCTCTTTAGATTGTGACAGGGCTGCTCTTTATTTTCAGCATTTTCTATTTAATTCAACATCCCTTTCTTCCCCTCAGGAATATTCATGGCCTTGACAGATAAAGGTTTTTCTTTGCCAAGCAGACATTTTCAAGTTGTGGTCTTTGAAACCATAAAACGTTTTCTAATAAATTTTAGAAGGGCACCTTGGATAAAGAGGTCTGACCTTGTCAAATCTAGTTGTTATTTTAGATATTAAAATGTACTTTGGTAGATGTCATTTTGTGCAAAGTACACTGAGGCTTTTTCCTCAGTGTGCAAGAGAAACAGGATGCAATTGGTTTTGTAGCATTCTAATAAAACTGGGAAAAATCCTACTTTCATCATTATATTTTGGCAACATGCTCAACAATTAAAAATACAGGAATGAAGAGAATGAGTACAAAATAAAAAAAATAAACTGGTCGTTTTATTACTTTATTAGTGACAAGAAAATTGTGATCAGGATCGTCAAATTACACGAAATAGACAGAACGAAATTATATTGTATTTATTATCCTTAACAATTAAAAATCATGATTTCTACAGCAGAACACTGCTTGACATCAGAATCAGAAATCGCTCAAGTGTGGAATTCAGCCCATCAAGTCCACACCATCCCTCTAAGAGTATCACACCCAAACCCACCCCATTGCTGTTGCATTTCTCACAGCTAACCCAACTAGCTTAAACATGGGCAATTTGGCCTGGCCAATCCACCTAACCTGTGCATCTTGGACTGTGGGAGGAAACCCATACAGACACAAGGAGAATGTGCAAACTCCACACAGAGACAGCTCCATCAGGGAGGAATCGAACCCGGGTCCCTGGTGCTGTGAGGCTGCAGTGCTAACCACTGATCAACTGTGCTACCCTGATATAGTATATTTGATGACAATAATATAAAATTCATTTTAATCTATTACAGGCAAATTGCAGAATTAATATAACTGAGTTGTGTAAAGACCGAGTTAGTAAAGACTATTTGAAACACAAGGATGTCTAAAGGTTGTCTGAAAGACAACTGTAGTCCATTCAAACCCGTTAAAATGTCCAAATTCAATTTGGTATCAGTGGTGCTCGCTCTTCGTCGGCGTGAATCCCAGAGACCGACCTACATAAAGATAACAATCTACATCATTATTTAATTGAAGACAATTATGTTTTCATATAGAATTATTAGTATGTGAAGATTTTGTTCTTAAAGACAAAAAAAAAACCACAATCCACTACTTAACAAAAAAAAATCATATTTGAACACATAGGTGATTTACTTGTCTGATCCAGATATTGAATGTTCTTTAAAATATTCGAATAACAATGGATATCTACTAAACCAAGTGCAATATCAACTTTTCAGTGGTCAATTCAATTTGAAGGATGTGCCAATCATTCACTAATCAACCAATACTCCCATTCTATGTCTTGCAGTCATTAAAGTACAAATTTAACAAACTGAAATAACACAAAAATAGTGATGTAATTTAATGCTAACTTTTTTTTCCCTCATATTGTTAAAGCAGTTGTATAATAACACAGGAAAAGTATTATTCATTCACTGATTAATTCACTCAGAATGGAGATGTCACTGTTTCCAGTCCTGAAATGCCCTTGTGAAGGTGTTGATGAGTGGACTTCTTGAAATAAAGCAGTTTCTATAATGAAGGTACATCCATCGTGCTGTTAGGCACAGGAAGTCGAGGATTTTAACTGGAGGTGATGATGAAGGAGCACTGTTATTGTTCTAAGTCAAGATGATGTGTGATATAGATATGGTAACGCTCTTCAGCCCATTCTCCCTTATCCACTTTGCTGGCTGGATGCAAATTTGGGAGGTGCAGTTGAAGGTGGCTTGTTGGGTTACAATTGCGTCCTGGAGATAATACATATTGCTGCCATTATGCATTGATCATGAAGGGAGTGTCATTCAAGTGTTTCAAGTATTTCTGAAGAAGGGTCTAGGCCCAAAACATCAGCTTTCCTGCTCCTCTGATGCTGCTTGGCCTGCTGTGCTCATCCAGCTCTACACCTTGTTATCTGTCATTCAAGTGGACTGCTTTGTCCTGGATGGAATTATCTGGAGTGTTGCTTGAACTACGCTCATCTAGGTTAATGTATAATGTTCCATTAAAACCCAATTGGAAATTCAGAAGTAAATTTTTAACCTCAGAGGACTGTGGAAGTTCTATCATTGAGCACGCTCAAGACAGAAATTGAGAGGTGTCTGGAAGCTAAATGACATTAAGGTATATGGAGATTCTGTGGGAAAATGGCATTGAGGAGATGATCAGCCACGTAAAAAAGTTAGTGGGGCAGACTCAATGGGCTGAATCCTGTTCCTGTTTCCCTACTCAAAAAAGAGGATTGAGGATGTGAAACCTGTTACTACAGAGAGTGGTTGAAGAAATAATAAAAGGATGCCTACAAGGGAAAACTGATAAGCAGATGAGGGAGAAGGAAATAGATGGTTACCATGGTATATTTAGATGAGGAAAGATAGGAGGAAGCTTGAGCACAGCATAAATACTTGCATCGACTAAATGGCCTATTTCTGTTGTATATGCTGTGTAATCATTCTTGCCTATTCTAAAATGTCACCATTCCTTCATTCACTCTACACCACAGCATTCTTTTAAATTTAACAGAATGAAAATACAAGTACAGACCTCCTTTTGTGAAATGTTACCACTATAAAGTACAAACCCAGCAGGGAACCCTGAAGATAGAAGAATAGAAAATTGCAGATGGTGATTATTGAAGAGACCTTGGTTTTTGAATTTTATTTTTAAAATGGTGGCTTAGGGTTTTGACTCTCAATATTCTATGCATTATCCACATTGTGTTGACTTACAAAAAACAGCGGAAAGCTTCCTTGTATGACTGCAGCCCACTCAAAACCCAATTTTTCATATAGGTATCCACCCAGCGTTGGTCCTACAAATGACCTGATTTAAAAGAAAAAAAAACACTAGTTTTGATCCAGCAGGATTATTTTGTACCATTGTAAAGTTTATAACTTTCTATTCATAGCCTGTATTATCTCCAGCATTACCTTCTCTTCTGGTAGGTCAATGTGTCAGCTCCAGGGACTTAGAGCTGGGATGGCCATATTATACTCGTGAAGCTAATATTAAAGTTAAATCTTAAATCAAAGCTTGTGGTGTGCACCAGCAGCAGCAGTCATATCTACAAACCTGGAGGTGCAACTTCTGGATTAGTTAACAAGCACTGGGTAACAGCTGTGTTGCAAGACTGTTTCCTTGCACATTTTTGCTTCTTCACACTTGGATCAATGTCAATGAGTAGATACAAAAGTATGAAATAGCTGTCCATGGGTATCCCCACTTCCTTAAAATTGTGAAATTAATTATATACAATTGGTATAATTTGAGGCAATATTTAGAACACTAGTTTGAGCCAGGAAGTTGGATACAAACTAAAATACCGCAGTAAATAAACCTTCCACATTTACTAAATGCCAGACCAAAATTAAATGGATCCAGTATATTGTTTCATAGTACAATATTCTTTATGCATAAACAGCTAGAACTTTTTAGCAGGAGTCAGAATAAGTAACACCAACACAATTTAAAAATGATATTTGAATGCATGCATTGTATGGCTGGAACTTGTCTTAATGAAGTACATACACTTATTTAGTAAACATTTTCATGTAACAAGCCCTTCCTGGAGCATGTTCCTTCACATCTGCTGTCACAATTTTAAAAATATATTTAAACGGTGGACTATAACAGTCATCCCAGCTCCAAGACTCTCTTCTTAAATTATCACCAATTTACCCAGTAGTTCCTCTTAATATCACATCGGAGTTCTACTGCTTCCCCAAACATTGAGCTAGTATTTTTCCTCTTGACTTGACTAGCCAGCACATCTAGCTACAAAAGCTCAAATATTACTTTGGATTATATTGAACACATTGAGCTGAAGAATATGAAACAGAAATGACCAAGATATAAAAGTACTGGATACCCAACATTAGATATACCAAAACTACTAAAATACTAACCCAGCAAATTAAATACATTTCTACATATAAACACATGCAGATACATACCCAAGACACCACCATGCTCCAAATATTCCAGACACTAGACCTAAAGTACCAAGTCCCTCTTCAAATCCATTCTCACTAGATGAAAAGGTGAAATTCAGTATCAGTTATTACAATGAAATCTTACTAGGTCATTAGAATCTGTTCATTGGTATGCTTCTGTATATAAAAATTTAGGTATAATAAGTCATCAAGTAGTCTCTTAACCTTCTCAATCAGCATTCCAAACGCAAGTTAATTTTAGGAGAGGTGATGTTGTCACTGGACTAGTAAATCCAGACAGTCAGGTCAATATTCTGGGAACATGAGTTCAGACAGTGAAATTTAAATTTAAAAAAATCCAGAAATCAATAACAGCAGATAAGTTTGTTAGAGACGCTCGGAAATCTGAATTGAAAGTTAAAGGAGTCGACCAATGTTATTAGTATCATGCTGGCTCCAGCATGTGTGTATCTGCTTGTGTAGATGGAACAGTGGCTGCCATGGAGACCTGGATCCAAGAGAATACAGTGACTCTTACAAATGCACTCCATTGTTTTAGCCATTAGTAATCAGTACCAGCTGTAAAGCTAAGGGAGAGGAGGAACTTCAACTTCACTCAAGCACTCCTTCCTCTCGAGGAAACAAGATAGTACCAACGGCGTCCAGTCAGAAGGAGGAAGAAAATACAAGTGCCCAAAGTTTCCTCAGAATCACAGAATTGTAATGGTGCACAAGAAGGCCATTCAATCCATCATGTCAGCACTGGCTCCCTGAGCATTTTAAACTTAGTGCCACACTCTTTCCTTATCCCTGTTACCCTAAATTTTGATCCTATTTGAATAATCATCCATTTCCCTCCTGAATGCCTCAATTGAACCTGCTTCCACCATGATTCCGGGCCATTCCCTAATTATTCACTAGATCAATAAGTTTTTTTTTTCTCATCTCACGTGTTTTGCAATGAAACACTTTAAACTGTGCACTCTAGTTCTTGATCCATTTACAGCCCCAAAAATAGGGTCTATCAACAGAGATGGATGGGGGAAAAGAAATGGTTAATGAGAAGATCCAGGGAGCCAAACCACCATTCTTTTGGGGGAAGACCACAACTTCCACTACATCAACTAGAAGGAAGAAAAAACTGCTGCCATCAAAGGCAACTACAAAAAATTGCAAGACATCTGGGACATGGAACAGCACTGTCTCTAATCCTCCATTTTAGAGAACAGCTTCAGGATCAGTAAAGCATTTGCATCTGTCTCAGGTCATTTATTTTCCTTCTTTGCCTAATAAACCATTGTACCATATCCAAACTGCTTCTCCTGAATAAATGATCAGAACATTGTTATAAATTGTCAACTGCCTATATTAGGTCATTGTGGTCACAAACCCCTGTCCTGAGATCAATAGTAGCGTAAAGCTACCTGCCTATGTGAGGAAACAAATTCCTGTTATCTAAGCAAGCTTTACTTCAGTAGAGTGTTCAATTGTTCCATAAGCATTTCAGTTCACTTCACAGATTTGTCCTGAAAATTACCTTTCACTGCAGGTTGGCATTAGGATACAGTTGGATTTATGACCATGCTGCACCAGCTTTCATAAAATGCAATGTGAAGTAAATGTGAAGTGCTCATGCCTCTTACTGATGTTAGATATTTCTAAATGCTGCATGAATCCAAGATCAGAGCCCAACGTGAAAATGAGGAGGGAAGCTCTGCTAAGTAATGTTGTCCACTATGCCTTGGTCTCACCAGTGTGGGTGAATTTGAACTGTCCTCTGGGCAGTTAGGGATGGGCAACAAATGCTGCCTAGCCAGTGATGCCCTCATCCCACGAATTAATAAAGAATAAACCAGACGTCTCAACACCCAAATGACACCCTGCATTAATCCAAAGCTAAAAGCACTTGTTCACACAGACACTGCACTCCTAGTACCTTTCATCATAGGTGAGCATGTGCAGACTAACAGACCAAGAAGTCTTTCTTTTTCTGTGCAATGACAAAACAGAAAATTGCACACCGAGTTCTGAATTTGGCAAAGTCATTCATCTCAAATTGGCAGACTACTTAGACAAACTAATATGTACAGCAGGGCCAGAGCAGCTAAACAGATAGACAGCAGCACGAATATTTATTTAAACATTTCTAATTTTCTATTTAAGGGATTTACAACAAGTTTTACTGTAAATATTAAAAATTACTGCTCATATTTTCAGGACAGGTATTCAAACATTGACAAAACTGACATAATAAACATCTTGAAGTTGGGAAACCAGGAATGCCAAGAGGTACTGTCTAACAGAACAAAGATGGAAATAAAGACCAAGTCTGAAGAGTTGATGAGGCAAAATATGGTTCTTGCCAAATTCAGTCAGCTAAACCTTCCTCAGTTACAATAAACATGACTATTGAAAAAAATGTATCTAAGCATCCTTTAAAGTAGAAAACAATGTCATAATTTAAAAATTTCTTACTAAACACAGGTGATGATTTCTGGGAAAACCGGAATTCCACTCAAACTGAGTGAAAACCCACTGAATACCAGCATCAAAACAAACATCCAGAGCTGGCTGCAAAGGAAACAAATAAAATTGAATCTTAGAAATGTATCTATTTTGAGACAGGTAGGTATAATTCATCTAATACTTGAGATATGATCTAAAAAAATTGTTCTGCCCTCTCCCATAAACCAATAACCTATGACAATTGAGTACCAAATTAAACGTCTTGGTTACAGTTGATTTGCCAATTGTTTGCAGATTGATTGCATGCTTTGTAAGGTCAGAAAATGATTAAAACTACTGGAAGGAGCATAATTCTTAGAAATGTAAAATTATTCACCCTGATGAGAGGTATGAAAAAGTATAATTTTTTCAAAGATGTGGAAAAATATTAAGTGTGACACACAGAGTGATTAGGCTGTACATGGATAAGGGGGAGCCTATGAATGCGATGTACTTAGACTTCCAGAAGTTATCTAACAAGCTGCCACAGAGGTTATTGCACAGAAATAAGAGCTTACCATGTAGGGTATAATATACTGACATGATAGAGGATTGGTTAGATAATAGGAAACAGAGAATAGGCATAAATTGATCATTCTTGTGCTGACCAGATGTGTCGAGTGGATTCAATATTGGGGCCTCGCTATTTACAATGTATCAATGACTTGAATGAAGGGACCTATAGTTGAGGATTACTGTAAAAGCATACATTTTTAAGATCTTCAACTTGCACTCGTCAGCAAAGGAAATATCAATGTAAAGGAAAACAACCTTTCGTATATGCTGAGAAAAACAAAATTTTTTTTCCTTTATTCTGGTGTTTCTTACAAATCTTCCTGATGACTGCAAGGCGTAAAACTTTGACAATATGAGTATTGCTGCAAAAAGATCCAACTTCTGTAATAGTAAATGACTGAATAGATGATTGCTAAATTGCTGATGTCACAAAGTTAGATCGGAAAGAAAGTTGGAAAGAACACAAGGAGACTGCAAAGAAAATGGTAATATAAGAATATTATAGGGAAAGGTTATTCAGGTTGGCCCTGTATTAATTGGAGTTGAGAAGGAAGAGGTGAAGTTACTGAAGTATATAAGATCTTGTACGGACTTGACAAGGTAATCTGCTTTCCCTTACTGCAAAATCTAGAAGCAATGATCAGAGTCTCACAACAAAGGATTTAGGACAGAGAGATGAGATTTTTTTGGCACTGAGGGGTTTGGGAATCGTTGAAATTCTCTAAGTCAGAAGACTGTGGATATTCAGTCAATGAGTACATTCAAGAGTCAAGGAAGGATAGATGTTTTGGGCACTAAGGAAATCAAATGATGTGAAGATATGATGAGATAATGATGATGATGTACAAGTTCAGCCATATTCTTATTGAATGGTGGAATAGATTCAAGGGAATGCCTTTCTCACTCATGCTCCTATTTCTTACGCTTCTAAATTTATGTCTCTTTAGGTGTTACCAGATGTAAAATATTAAGCAAGAGAAGGATCTTCTAAACGGAGTGAATGTCATAATTACTTTCTAAATACTTAGATGACAATGCTATCCGACATGTACGGCCTGATCAGTAAAACAGACTGCAGAATGTACAGTTTTCCCCACCTTTACAGACAGTACTGCATTATTCAAAGAACGGAAGGAAAAGAAGGAGACCATTTGATTTTTCATTCCTATACCAGGCTTACAAAATAAAACTATGAATCAGATTCACTCTCCTTTACTTTCCCTACAACCATCAAATTGTCTTTCATTCAACTCTTTATCTAATTTCCTTTTGAAATTATTACTGGATCAGCTTCCACTATTCTTTCAGGCAATGAATTCCAAATCACAATATAGCAATGCTGTAAGTAAAAACTTATGAAAACAAAACAAGATAATACATACCACTTGATATGAAAAATAGGTGCTGGTCCCAAAAATGAAAAGCTAACAGCAATAAGCCAACTTCCAACAAGCAGTAGCCACTTCCTAATTCTCTGGAATTGGAAGAATGAGAAAGACAATAACATGTAACTAAATTAAAACTGAACAAGAACATGTTGTCACATTTCACCCTTTTTATGAATATTGAATGCATGAAATAAATACAGACAGAAGGATACTGGAGAAACGGACCGAAATTCACCTTCAGCAGGATTGCAAAATGGTTGCTAGTGGATTGCCTGCCACTTATACAATGCACTAAACTTTTCATCCCATTAACTTCAGTGGTGGTGATGAGAATTCTGAATTCTGGAAACCAGAAATTCTTAGTGCACTGAAAAGAAACATTGGTTGATTCCATTTCAACATAATTTATACAGGCTAAGTTAATACATTTTGAAATGCACTGTACTACAAAGGCATTGGAGGTGTATGTTCCTATAAAATTAGACTATAAAGGTCAATTTTGCTATGGTCTGAAAGTCAAATCAAGTCAACCGTAGATGAATGGGGCCAGAACTGCAATAAAACATCTTGGAACAGAGATGCTCAGATTTGGGTGAAAACATCCCAGCTAAATCAGAGTGTCACTCCACAGAATCACATAATTGTTATGGTGAGGAGGAAAGCCATTCAGACAACTTTGTCTGCACTGGTTCTCTGAGCATTTAACTTTAACTTAAATGGCAATCTCCTGTCTTTCCCTGTAATGCTGCATATTGGTTCCATTTAAACAACTGTCCACTGCCTTTGTGAATGACTCAATTAAACACACCTACAGCACATTTCAACACTGCATTGTATACACTAACTATATTCTGTGTGTAAAAGATATTTTTTACAAAGAACAAAAAAACAAAGAAAATTACAGTACAGGAACAGGCCTGTCGGCCCTCCAAGCCTGCACTGACATGCTGCCCGATACAATTAAAATCCCCCAGCCTTCCAGGGGATCGTATCCCTCTATTCCAGTCCTATTCATATATTTGTCAAGACGCCCTTTAAAAGTCAAAAAACACAATTTGCAGTCACACTCAGTCAGTGCGGCATTTTAAAAATTCCTGCTTTCTGAATAAAACCAGCCTGATTCCAGGTTAGAACCCTGACACAGATTCTGAATGAGGCCTCACACCAGTGTCTGACCTGATACGTCACCTTTTGTATCTCTGCCTGATTGAAGTTTGGAAAGTTAGGCAGACATTAATAAAACCTTTAATTATCTTGGGGCAGTGACTTGAAGCAGATTCTGGAATCAATCAAAACTTGTGTCTCCTTTCTAACGGAGTTCTCCATCAGCCATTTTATGTTTGTTCACTCAACTCACACCAGTTGTATGATCCTTTGATCTCTCTGCCTATAAACTCTGTCTGTATGCCCTCTCACAGTGCACCTGATGAAGCAGTGACACTGCGAAAGCTGGAGATTTCAAATAAACTTGCTGGACTATACCTGGTATGTGATTTTTGACCATGGCAAATGCAGCATCTATCTTTTAGGTGAACACAGATGCAAGATATTCATTCAGCCATGCCTCTTGCCTCTAAATGTAATTCTTATTTTTGGACCCTCATCAGCCTTACTCCTCTTGCTACCTGCCTTTTACTATTGACGTACTTAGAAACTTTGGGATTTCATTTTATATTAACTGCCAGTCAGTTTTCACAATCCATCTTTGCTTCTTATATTCATTTTATCACCTCCCTTCTGAAGCTTCTATATTTCAGCTCGGTTCTCAAATGTAATTACTTCAGTCACTATTGGTCCAAAGTCTGCAGTCAAACTATCAGAACTCATTGTCATTATCCTGTGAAACTGATAACAGCTTCTGATATCCACATATTGGCAGGTAAACACTGAAAGCCAGAAGTTGCTGTCAATGATTCCCTGCTTCTCACCAGACTTACAATTGAAAACCCCACACCTATCAGTTTTTAGAACCCACTGAACATTAATAATGTTGTCCCTGGTTAATGGGGTATACTTGAGTTTTCAAACTGAGTGCTAAGTCATTACTGCTGCTGAAACTAATTTTATTTCTTTAATGACAAATATTTCCATTTTGTGAGAAAAGCATTGTTTAATGTAGTTATTTTTTCAAATGTTTATCAAGTTTATAATATTTTTGCTTCTAAGGTGCATGTTCTAGTCATTTATGCAGCTGTCTATAAAAATGAGTGAAAAATGAACTATAATCAGTACATTTTGCTTCCTGGTTTGCTGCCTGAGAATTCCTCATTGCAACTGGCTATTTTAACCTGCTTGATGACATCAAGTAGTGCTGGTGACCTTGAGATCTACTTGGCTTGGTGCCAGATTCAGTGACATCAGAAAAGGTACATCTGTGCCACAGTAATAACTTGGTCTTTGTGGGTACGCATCAAAGATATGCACTATTGCTTAGCCGCTGACCATAGAGTACAGTCCAACATCTCTTCATGAATCAGAGTTTGACCCCGTCACAGAAATGCAGAATTGATAAACTATCACAAGGTGAAGCTATTTTAAGTCAATTTTCTTGCAAATTCTTTCACGCTGTGAAGCAATAAAGGGGATGATTATATTCAGCAGTTTAAAAATGTTTCTGTGATGGAAAAGACAGAGTTAACATTTCGCGTCCGGTGATCCTTCTCAGAAGGGTCACTGGACCCGAAACGTTAACGCTGTTTTTTCCCTTCACAGATGCTGCCAGACCTGCTGAGCTTTTCCAGCAACTTTGTTTTTGTTCCTGATTTACAGCATCCGCAGTTCTTTCATTTTTAAAAAATGTTTCTGTTCCTGGTTATCAGTCTGTTTGATCTATCATAAAAACTAAT